CACTCGGCTGGCGGGCGGGCGCACAAGGAGATGTCGACAGTCCTGCTGAGTTGACTTGGGTCTGGGTCAGAGCCCATGGAGCAGACCTGGCTGTGCTTTCTAAGGGAGTCGGACAGACTCCAGGACACGAGGCCAATCCTGTGCCTCCACCCCTGTGGGCAGGACGAGATGGCTCCACACTGCTTTCTTACTCGCCATGCAGATCCTGAGTGGTCGAGCTCCGAGCTGTGGCAAGTGCACTGGCCCAGGATAGAAAACTTGGCCTTGAATCCCAGTTTGTCCTCTCCTGGGACAGAACTCTTTGTGCTCGTTTTCTCAAGTGTAAAATGATGAGGATTATGTCAGTGCAAGACAGAGAAAGAGCAGCTCGCCATGGACTGGAATATTCAGGACGCCTGTGCAGGCAGGAGTTCTAGACAGACTCTCCACAGGTGGGAGGCACAGCACTCCAGAGACGTAAAAAGGTAAAATTAAAGGCAGGAACAAGGTGCCTGTGCTGGCAAGCGGGCACAGGCGGGACGGTGCTGGGCTGAGAGGCGCAGGTGTGCCATGCAAGCTCCACCTGTCCCGCAGCGGAGGAAGCACCGCAGAGCTCCACCTGGTCTGGTCTGAAGGAGGCCCCAGAGGCACTGCTTTAGCCGACCATCCAGATGACGTTTTTTCTGTTTCCAATTTCATTTTATATTTAAGCAGGTTTTAATTTGGGGATTTTGAAAAATAGAACCTGAACAATTCAGTAACCTTACTATAGCTTAAACTTGTCATTTAAGGTTAAACATTAAGTAGGTGGAAATGTACCATTGAATTTTCTCCTGGCACTTTTGTATGAGAAGTTGTGTCAGGTGCTCCTGGAATTCTTTGAGACCTCAGTTACAAATACTGGAAGCTAACTAAATATTTCACTTCTGAGATCAAGTTTCTGGTTTAAAAGAAGAAACTATTGGGATAAAAGTGTATGAAAAAATGGAATTCAAATTTTGTTCTATTTCTCAGAAGGAATTTTCAATTGTAAAAGGTTAGAGAAACAGAAGTGGGACACCATGTTTCTGAGAACAAAGATTAGCAGCCTACAACCACACTCTCTCTGCGACAGACAGACGTCATAGCTAGAACACGCAGCTCCTGCCGTTGGGTCCTCAGTGAGTCTTCTGGGCCGACATGGGCTTCCACCTACACTGGCAACGGTGTGCAGAGGCAGGGCCAGCTCTGTGCGTCCCAGCTCTGCCCAGGACATCACTCCTGAACCTGTGGCCCAGCCTCCACATCTGGACGATGGAGCTGTAGTCCAGGGCTGTGTGAGGGCCATGCGGGCTGAGTCCCTGCACCTGCGGGAAGTCAGGGCAGCTACGAAGTGCACAGGGTCCTCCCAGTGCTCCCCTGTGCTTGTTCCCCCCCAGCCTACAGGGCTGGCGCTGGTCCCTTTTGCAGCTTGGTGAGAATGGGCTGAAGAGCACACCTGACAAGTGCTGGTTAAATACACAAATGCCATGTGACCAGTCATTAAATGACCTGCTGGACCAAGATCCACTCAACATTTTTATAAAGCCAGCCTAAATGATATGTAAGGACCTGTCCAAACAGGCTGCAGTCCACTGTGCGGAGTCCGGCTGGCCCTGGCTGACCCCAACAGCACCCACCGTCAGGCGGCCCACAGTCTAACCTCAGCAAGGGGTGACTCCCTTCTTAGCACCTCACTCTAAGGAGCCTCCGCAGCTCTGGGGAAGAGGCCCCGCTGGCCCCAGCCCACTGGTGATACTGGGGAAGGAAGGGGGAGAGGCCTCCCTGGCCACCGCCTCCTGCATACATGTGACGATTGTTTTCAGTTATCCAGGAGGTAGCATGTTCCCCGGGGCGGCCAATGGCCGCTCAGCCCTGCCCTCACCAGTTCCGCAGGCAGCCAATCCTGGGCCTGCTCGCCTGGATGACAGCTGCCAGCTACCCTGTCCTCAGTCAGCCCGACGCCAGGAGGGAAGGGGCCACCACCAGCCTGGCACAGCGTCTGCTTAAACAGCTAATAATCACTGCCATCACAGCCAGCCCGCCCTCCCTGCCCCAGGTCTAACCCTAACCTGCGGGTGCGCAGGCCCAGGGTGCCCCACTTTGTTGCTGACGGACCGAGGCGTCAGAAGCGGCAGACACCCTCATGGTTTCTGCTACTCACCAGCAGCTGTCCCGCAACAGGGCGGGACCCACCAGGCTGAAGAAAAGATGGTGGCGATCACCTCCTCAGGGAATAGGGTGACATTCCTCTGGATCTGCAGCAGGTTGAGCACCAGGGCCAGGACGACCCCGACAGAGAAGAGCACGAGGCTCCTCTGCACCAAGTGATGATGCCAACTGGTGGTGCGGTCGCTGCAGGCGCCGCGGCCACGCGGGCCAGCGCCGCGACCCTGCGCCGAGGGGTCAGCGTCCGAGGCGCCGTGGCCC